CCCACGATTTTTGTGCGATTATAAAAAAAAAAAAAAAGCATAAAGCACATTTACACCAGAAATCTCATTATCACAATGCAAAAACTGATATAAATTATTTTAAAAACATATATAAAACATAAATAAAAAAATACGTGTTGGTAGTATTTGCTGCATTTAAATGAATCAGTGACTTAAATCAACCTTGAAATCAACATAAATGCACCAAATACAACCAACATATGTAAGATTTATATTACAACGTTTTTACTGTAATAGCAAAAATTATATTATGAGAAACTAAAGGAAAAAAGTACTTAATTGACATGAACATAATGCATACATATTTTAATTACTGTAAAAAAAAAAAATTTAAAAAAAAGTTGTAATTATGCAAAGAAATATACTGTGGGGTGAAATAGAACCAGGACATAAAAATTTGTAAGAATGATAAGGTAGAGCAGGAAAAAGATCCATGTTCCTTCCTCTCCTGTTATAAAGTTCACCCTGGTTTGACATGCACATTGAGATTTCTGTATGAGACCAAGACACAGACAACAAACTTCTGCAAAAAAAGAAAAAACTAAATCCCTTACTCAGCCCATTGTAACCTTAGCACAAAATTCATCTTTGTCTACACAGATAGATAGATAGATAGATAGATAGATAGATAGATAGATAGATAGAATCAAGCAATCTCTATTGCAGTGCAACTGAGCTAGTTTATGATATAGTGAGAGATAATCCCAAATGTCCATGCTGTTCAGCGATCCAGCCCTGTATAAAGATCTGCAGGTATAAAAACATCCCAGGGCTTAACCACTGGATTGACTGACAAAGAAGTAAACCCAGCAACCACAATCTACGAAACACTCATGCCCTGCCATTAAGCTAAAACACACTGCCACTGATGCCCTGGCCCTAATCTCTAGAACCAGGTATTTAGAGATAACCTTTCCCATTGGTTTTGACTGAAGGTCACCCAAAACAACCAGTCCTACTGTAAACCACTCGTGGGATGCATGTGTTGTTGTTGGTGATGAGATATTGCAACTGTCAAACTGCCAGGCAGCTGAAATGAACCAGACCATGGAAACAGGGCACAGAGGCACAGTGCCACTGAGCCAAAGCAAGAAGTTGGCAAAGAATAGAGGAGTAGTGATCAGAACAACTTGTATTTGGTGGGTTAGCCCGTAATGAATAGACACAAAGTTTGGAGATTCACAAGAGCAGTTTGGCACTGTGGTTCCTTCAAAGAGGACAGAGAAAAAAAAAGTGGAAACCTCTGAAATTCTACAGTCCATATGAGTGCAGATGATGCAGGTTCATGATCTCCTAATGATTTACACACACACACACACACACACACAAGCAGCTGACAAAGAACTACTGCATTCCAGAACACCAATTAAACAAAAACAGATGAAGAACAAGCTTTCTTCACGGATTTTCACTCATACACCCATTCAAATGTTGCTTTACATGTGTGAGAAATATAAAAAGCATGATTACATTTTTTCCCCTTTAGGTACACAACCCCTAACAAACTCTGTATAAAAAGTGTTCTTAGACCTTAACTTCATTTATTTGACATATTTACTTTGGTATATGAAACACCAAAACGTACCGGACCTAAACTTGAGCAGGATAGGCAAAAACCATTCAAATATTTAATTTACCTTGATGTTTTCGATGTGAGGAGCTGATTTGGGTGTTTTTAACCGTCTTTCCTCCTTCAAGGCCTCTTGAAGCAGCAGAAAAAGAAAAAGAAAGACACAAAATCGGTTTTTGGCCTTAAAAACTGCCAAACCCACAGCAATAATCCCATCAAACACTCAAATTTCCGACGATAGAAAAGGATCCAGCTGAAATACGAACATCCCCAGGTATCTCTTTATGTCCACACACCGCGTTAATATGTTATTTTAATCCAGAAAATATGTTTTATTAGGGAATATCGGTCCCTTTTTCGCCCTATTGTCAATATTACTGGGCTGAGTCCATGGCACACATAACACGGACGCGCTCTAGTCTGCTGGGCCGGGTTCGGGCCTACAGTGCCACGCCATTGGTCAGTTTGAAGATTCCTCGGAACATGATTGGACGATGTAGGTGTCAATCACCACGCATGGGCGGGAAAAACTCTAAGGCTTCTCCAACGATGAATAGAGAAGTTGGGTTGAGGTGTGTGCGAGCAGGAAAGAGAGTCACCTTACTATTCTATCTTATTGATCTACTATTTTAATTGTTATGTACTTTATTACAATGTAGTAAAATAACTACATAATTAATATTTAAATCTTGAACACTTTGCCAATACTAAGTTTATTAAGAAACCATCCTCTAAAGCTATATCTATAGTGAAAAGCACTAAACAAATAAAAATGAACTGAATAGAAAAAAAAAATGTCATAGCACTAATGCATCTTTATTCAGAATGGCGACAGTCTGGACAGGGAAAAAGAAAAGGAAATAATCAATCTCTTCAGGAATGAAGTTAAACCTGTATAAGAGCCCAGCCCATATGAGGAGCGTCTCATTCCAAAGAAGAGCACACCTGGCGTGAACTATCAGCACATCGCACGAGCATCAGGATCATATGGCATCTTTTACTCTCAGCTACGGTTTCACGTGTTTCAGGAAATGAGTGACGAGAGCGCGCGCGTAGGCACCCACGTCATTGCGTACACAGGGAATGGCTGATTACGCAACAGAGACGCTCTGGGCTGTTTCATTGAATTTCAAATAAAGAGGGAAATTCTATTGGGGTTCCTTTATGACAAATATAAATTGGAAAAAGGCCTGGCTTTTGCCAAGTAAATTTTGCATTTCTAACAAGGTCAAGGAGATTCATTATAAAATCCTTCATAAAATTTACCCCGTTAATTTGTCTATTTCTAAATATTCTAATGTTGATGAATCTTGCTCGTTTTGTGGTTTTGTTGAGGAAACCGCTGCCCATTTGTTTTTTGATTGTGGTGTTACCAACAAATTATGGGTTGACTTAAGCACCTATGTTTCTAACCTTACAAATGTGTCCCATACCTTCGTCCTCAAAGATGTTATCTTTTATTATGAAAATCCAAAGCTATTATCTGTTGAATATGTTGTTAATTTTCTTATATTTAATGCAAAATTCTTCATTCATAAGCAAAAATGGCTTAAATCTCCTTTGTCTTTCCCCACTTTTCTTGTTGAACTGGACTCTCGTTTCATCTCTTAGACTTACTAATAACAAAAAGAGTGCCAAACTTTTGATGTATTATGACAACTTTTCTAAAATAATGTAAGTTTATTTTTGCACTTTTATGTATCGATAATAATTAATTTGACATGCAAATACAGAATATTTGTTTTCTGTTTTTATTTTTATAATTGCTTTTTGTTGGAATATATTCATGTCTCGCTTCCCTGTTTCTGTATGTTTCTACAAGTTTTGTAATAAAAAAAATTAATAAAAAAAATTGCATTTCAAATAATAGTCATTGCTACGATTCAGTGCCTTCTGGGCTTTGAAAGTTTTGTAAAATGAAACCTATTTATGAAACCTACTTATGTTTCATCATAAACGGCGACATGTTAAAGTTAATAAATTACCTTAGTCCAGTGAATATATAGCCTAATATTTTTTTTTATTTGTGAAATTTGAGGCTTAGACCTAAAGCAGCGTGTAATAAAATACATATACATTTATTGGTTTTAACCAGCCCATTAGTAGCATACTACTTTTTTTATATATATAAATCTGCAAAGCCATAACTTGTATTGTGGATTGAAAGGTACCAAACTGTAAAAATGATGTAACGTTAGTGGTATTAATGCGTTTTAGAAATTAAATAAATAAATGACAGTTGCTTGTTGGGGATTTTATGGTGGCTTCCAATTCAGATAAATGTATGCATTTGAAACCGTAATTCTTTACTGTATATTTAAGGGCATTTACAACACACATAGCATCCACAAACACCACGCAATTGACAGTTTCTCAGTTAGTCTCCCAGCAGTCATTTCTTGTGCTAGATGCCAAATTCCGAATTCACATCACTTTCTGCGACATTGTTGAATATTATTGATGGTAGGCAGTTTCCGATCGATGGAATACGAACAAATGAACAGGGCTGTCCTGTTGTGGCATGTCTTGAATTCAGCATAATATACCTCACCAGGCTTACATTACATCAGAATTATTAGCTGGACTCTCATCCTCAGTGTTTACACTGAGAGAATCAAACACTGAAAACTGTAGAAGCTACCCTGAAAAGTGCATGACAATGGGGAGCTCATAAATCTCAGAGACAAACGTGCCTGTTTAAAATTCACATTTGCATTTCAAAGCACACTCAGTAGTTATTCAAGATCACTAATGAGATTCAACAACAACAACAACAACAAAAAAACTTAGGATAAAATGTGAGATTATAAAGTTGTAGAATTAATTCTGCAGCTCTTGAGATCAAAAACAATCAAAAACAATTTCTATTTACAATTTCAGAAGTTCTTATGGGTTAGTCCATGCTAAAAAGTAACAAAAAACACAAAACATACATTTCTTGACAGATGATTTTGTAAAATGCATTTGCTAAGAACATAACCACCATTTTTGTCCATGAATGTAAACCCTTTGCATAGAAATGCATTTTATGAGATTATGGTTGCACTTTGCATAATTGATTAGAAAGTGATTCTGACATTGTATCTCAGTGGTGCTGATGCAGCCCTCCAAGGTACATATAAAAACATTTAAGACAAGATATTCCAGAAAATCCCCATGCATTAAAGGAATACTTAAAAATAAATAAATAAATAAGAATTGCTGATAATGTACTCACCCTCATGCCAGCATGTAGATGAGTTTGATTCTTATCGAAACAGATTTGGAGAAATTTAGCATTGCATCACTTGCTCATCAATGGATCCTCTGCAGTGAATGGGTGCCGTCAGAATGAGAGTTCAAACCAAAATTTCTCCAAATCTGTTCTGATTAAGAAACAAACTCATCTACCTCTTGGATGGCCTGAGGGTGAGTACAATTTAAGATAATTTTCATTTTTGGGTTAACTATTCCTTTAATACAATACAGCTTCAGTTTGTAGTCCTGAAACCCAGAAGACAATTTGATCATTTTCAAGTCATGTGTTTAACCTCAAAAGTGATCTTATGAAACACGTTGCAAACAAAACACAAGAAATGTAATGTTTTACATAGGGACAACTACCACATAGATGAGAGTTTATCTGCTGGACAACTCAAACAACAGTTGTAATTCTTATGTAGCAATTTGTTCACATCTTACATTTTAAAACCACAAAACTGTTTAAATTCTGCCAATGTCTATAATAAGCTATACGTTTTATAAGGCAGAAGATTCTAATTTAGTCTCCATAAAGCGTATCTTTATCTATTATCTCTACATTTGTGAAAACAAAGGCATCAGAGCAAAGTAGCTTAGTGCTCTTTGCAATTTCTCTGAGATTTCTGTCAAATAACCGATTTGTTTCAGTGTCAACTGTCTCTTAGTGAAATCTGAGTTTGTCCTGTGCATGTAATCATGCTAGTTTTGAGCGGTCTTTCTGTATAGCTTGTTTTCTGTGAGCTTTAGTTTTGAGCTGCATGGAGGAGATGCTTTTCAGAGAATCTTTCTTCCCCACACTGATTTCCTCTGCTCCTGCTTTCCACTGCAACAACTGGCCATCCTCCCCACCCGTCAACAGAGATTGACTGATCGCATCCCACTGGAAGCACCTCACTGTAGCTGAATGACCCCCTTTGAGGGATTTAATGAACCTCAGACCACGCCCACTGCAGTCCAGGAGGTGGAGCTCTCCATGATTACTCCCTCCCACTAACAGAATACGCTCCTCATCTGACAGCCATGTACCGCCCACAAAGTACTCAAGCGAGGCTCCATCAGGGAGCTGGACAAGTGCTCGAGCATCAGCCGAACTCAGAAGGGTCAGAGTGTCATCGCTGTCTGGGCGAGCCACGTCCCACAGGTGGAGCCCTTCATCATGGGTCAGACAAAGCAGCTGGTCAAGATCTTTGCCTGTTAATAGAAGAAATTAAATGACAGTTTAGGGTTCTGGGGAGTACAAATTTGGTGATGTTTAACATTTCTCACATTTTCAGCCGTTTTTTGTTACTTGGTAATAATAAGTTTTAAATAGTTATGTCATCTTAAATAGCCAATCTGTATATACAAATGCTTACAGGGTTCCCACACATTTTATCCAATTAACTGAAAGTAAATGTACTTAGAAAAGGCAATTTCCAGTCAATTAAATATTTTACAGCAAAGCATAGCTAAAAAAAATAATAGTATAGTATATATAAAGTATATATTCTATACTATTATCAGTTTGCCTGTTGTTATTGTTTGATTATATTCATATCAAGTGAATTTATTTTAAAAATCATTATTATTGTTTAAATTTCCATATTTATAAAAATGTATATTATTTATATAATTGTTTTTTATTATTATTGATCAATTTTATGTCATATATTACAAAAATGTACATAAAATAACATATATATTCATATATATTACATAAAAGTGACTGCATAATTTGTAGCAGATTACAGCATACCAATTACTATTTATTATTACATTTAATATTTTGAAAAAGTGTTTTACAGGCCTGGTCATCACAATCTAACACCTAAGCATACCAAGAAAAAAACCTATATGAATATATTAGTAGTAGTAGTAGTAGTAGTGGTAGTAATAGTAGTAGTATGTCATAGAAATTTGTACAAATTGTCATCAAAGGCATGGTCATCATCACAATTTAATAGCTAAGCATACCAGGAAAAAATATTCTTTATGATTATTATTATGATTATATAAACATTTCAATGTCATAGAAATGTTTAAAACATCTTAAGAAGCATTTTACAAGCCTGGTCATCACAATTTAATAGCTAAGCATGAAATCTATATATAATAATAATAATAATTATTATTATTATATTTTTAATATTAATATTTAAAACAATTTAAACATGGAAGTGTTTTACAGGCCTGGTCATCAAAATTGAAATATACTGATATTTTAAATGACTAAGGGAACTCTGTTTCGTGTACACTTTGACAAAAAAAAATACTGCTCAAGTTTTACTGTTATATAGTTTGGATTGCTCAGTCAGGTGTGTTGTTGCTGCCTACCTGTCCAGCAGAGGGAGCTTGCAGAGGAATTGCAGTTACAGGTGGTGACAAGAGCATCATCCTCTCCACCCAGACTCAGATCGAACACGTTCACAAGCCCATCTGTGGCTCCAGAAGCCAAGCGGTCTGCCTGCCGTGGGTGGAACTTCACCGTAGTGATGTCATCACTGTGTGACTCTGAGTAAACGCCCAGCAGACCGCCCATCTCACCTCCATCCCGAACCATACGGGCATCCCAGAATACTAAAAAACTGTCCTCCCCCACCTGCTCCGTGCCTGCGCACAGCACACGATCACTACAGCTCACATCAAACGAGAGGTACGGATGTGTCAAATCGCTGCAGAACACCTGGGTGGCATCAGAACCAGGCCGCCGGACGTCCCAGCACCGCAGTGTCCCATCAGCGGAGCCACTGAACAGCAGGTGAGGGGAGAGATGAGAGAAACACACCCCACACACAGGAGCCGTGTGACCATGGAAGTCACCCACCAGGCGGAGCGTCTCTCTGCTGTGCAGGTGCACAGAGTGATTGGAGCAGCACACAGCCAGCACATCTGACCCACTGCTGGCACAGGAGAGCTCCAAAATGTACGTGGCCTCACTGGGCTGCAGCCTCCTGGTGATGGAGAGAGTCCTAAAGGTGTCCTCCAGAGTGTCCATCATCGTCACCGATTACTCTGGCACCTTAAAAGAAAAGAGCATCATTTCACAGATGCTTTTATTTGAAGTGACCTAAAGCAGAGGTTCTCTACTGGTGACAGATTTGTGTTTTACATCGCGAATTATTGCCTGGACCCACTGCTGGCACAGGAGAGCTCCAAAATGTACGTGGCCTCACTGGGCTGCAGCCTCCTGGTGATGGAGAGAGTCCTAAAGGTGTCCTCCAGAGTGTCCATCATCGTCACCGATTACTCTGGCACCTTAAAAGAAAAGAGCATAATTTCACAGATGCTTTTATTTGAAGTGACCTAAAGCAGAGGTTCTCTACTGGTGACAGATTTGTGTTTTACATGGCGAATTATTGCCTGCTGAGAGAATGAAACCATGGACACAGAAGAGACAAATAAAAACATGATTGACAATTTTCTTATTCATTTTATGAAGCAGTTATTTTGCATAATCATACAGTTCATGTTAATATTAAAATATTTAAATGTTTAATTCTAAGGACTATGATTTGTTCCTAAATGATGTAAAATCTGGGTCCTGAAGTGAAATCAATTGAGAACCACTGATTTACTGTACTATTTACTAGACTTAAGAAATAATTGTTTAGTGACTAGATCAGGGGTTTTCAATTTTTTAAGTGCCACGGACCCCCAGATATGATCATCCTCAAGCTGTCATCCAAAATTTAAATGGAATCTATATATTTTTATATATAAAGTCCCAATTTATACTGTAAAAAAACTAGTATTACAAATATAAAAAAAAAAATTACATTATTGTATCATTTTTTATCATTGTAGTACTGTACTGTTTTATTATTAATTTAAATCAGATTAATATAATTTTTTATTCGTGTAATTACATTTATTAGTTTAAATGTATTAATTTAATTTACTGATTTATTTACTTATTATTATTTTTTACATTGTTTTTCTTTAAACTTTTCCATGGACACCACTTGGAAAAACATGAAAACCCCTGGTCTTGATCAAGGACACAGTGGTTTGAACCCAAAATTCATATTAAACGATACACATAAATCATTAGAGATCACTAAACCGATATGACTCAGGTTAAAACAATTATTTCTCGATTATCTGGAAAGTGATGCAGAATTACTGTCAAAATCACGGCTATAATTAAAAACATGACAGCCAAGGAGATGAATTAGAGTTAGACTGTTTCTTTGCATAATAAGTGTAAACAAGTGAACCTAACAAACAAATAGATAAGACATAGCAACAAAGTAGAAATCGCACAGTCTAAAGTACTCAAAACATACTGATCATTAATAAAACTAGTAAAATTAGTAAATATTTTTATGTAATCGATACAAATTATTGCACAAAACAAAACACTCACATGTGATCGTATTTTGACAGACATCAGTGTGCCACCTCCTTAGCTTCTCCCCGGAAACACAGTGACGCTGAACATTAGTTCCGCAACGGACACGTTTTACGATGCACTTGCTTCATTTGTTGTAAAACTTAAAAGAACTGTAACAAGACACATTATTTATTCGTTTTCGTGTCTAACATGAGAAGAGGTAAGAAGCAGAGACTATCCAGCGCTTTGCCACCATTAGATGGCAGTGATTCTCTGTATTATAAAATACACGCCTGGCATATTTAACAACGATTTATTTGTTTGTTTGTAATCCCATAATATATATGCAAATGTTAAATTCGTTGTAAGTCACTTCAAAACCAATTGTATATATGGTACTTTGCCAGAAACCCTTTCAATTACAAATTTTAACCTAGTACAGCTTTAAATTTGTTTCTACTGTTTTCAGAAACTATTAGATAAGGTTAAACAAGAGGAAATAACTGGGACATTTATATTGGAGAGTGAAAGAGTATAATGTAACAAGGGTATCATTGTGATGAGAATAGAAGATGCTTTTTTCCTTTGTCTGCCTGTCACCTTAGTTAAACTCCCAAAGGACACAAACAGGAGTGAAACTTGCCATCTGAAACAACAATCAGCATTGTCATCAGATGAGGACAGGAAGTATTTTGCTGACTTGAGCAGTACAGCAGGCCCATGTTGACCTTTATGATCATATTTCCCAAAATCCTGTCCTTTTGTATTCTTTTAGCCTGTAGGGAACGCATTAGAGTCCCCAAAGAAACATTAAATAGCAAGGCCTTGACATGAGCATTTGACATGAGATATAAACCTTAAGTAAACATTTTTTTCAGACTGCTTATAGTTGAGTGTATTTGTGGCTGAGTGCATATGAGAAGCAAAGAGGTGTGTATTAAAGTGTTCGGTGTGTGAGGAGTAGGTATGCATTCACACAGGCCTGTGCCAGCAAGCAAACAAAAACAACCAGACTTTAACCCTGTAAAGCCTAGTGTATCATATTTGATACATGCATTTCTAAGGCCTTTAAATGATCAACATGATCAACACTGTGCTGAAAAACCTGTTGTTCATTTGTACTACATGCCTTCTGTTGTCTGATTGGACAGTGTATATGTTCAGGTCATGTTACACGTCTTTTGTGATTTTTATAAATGAAACATAAGACTGTTATAATATTTATAAACTTTTATAATATTAGTAATATTTTTAGATCATTACTGGACTGGAACTTATGTTCTGTATATAATATTAGTTATAAGGATCTCAGTGATTTACATTACAAGCTATGAGAATTTCATCTTTACTTTTTGGCAGTATAAATAATATCTGCACTAAATTGAATATTTTCGCTCTGTTTGGGCCTCTGTCTGAATAAAATTGAGCTGGTTTTTTTTCTTCCTTGAGTATGAACTCTCACCATATCATATTTGAGCTGTACAAGTCTGATGTATCAAATATGATACAAAACATAAAACACGTGCAATTTTTTTTAAGGTTTTTAAAAAATATTTTGGCTAGTTTTAATAAAACTAGTTTTTAAGTTTTAATAAACTGTTCCATTTAAAACGTTTTCTATTATTTCATATGTAAGGCTTTACAGGGTTAACCCTGAGCCAGGTCTGAGGAAACTAGTGTGAAATACTGTACAATACTAAAAGCCATGTGTTTCAGTATTTTGGATAAACACAAATAAGCTCATTTTACTAATAATTACATCTTATATGACACTAAACAGTGAAATGAAAAAGAGAAGAGAGTTTTCTTTTGTAACCTGAACTGCCAGGGCAAATCTATCTGGCTAAACATGCTCACACATGTGCATTAATATTTCAGGCATTACAGAGAAATCTGTAATTATTCTCTACGGTCCAAACTGGAGCTGAAATTATATATAAATAAAACACTTATTCAGCAAGTATTTAGACCACCAGTAATTGCTTGGAAGGAAAATTATTTGGATAATAGATCACAGAGAGTTTTTTTTTTTATTAACGGAAGTTATTCAGATAGAAGGGGAATTGAATGTGGAGTTCCACAAGGGAGCTGTTTAGGACCACTTTTGTATTCCATTTTTACAAATGATTTATATCTGGTATTAAGAAGTGCTAAATTAACAATATATGTAGACAATACAACAGTTGACACAAACGTCGGTTGAATTGACGGCTATTTTGAATGAGGAGTTGGAGAGTATAGAAAAGTGGATTTTAGAAAACAAGTTGATACTAAATACATCTAAAACAAAGAGTACAATATTTGGGTCTAATATTTCTCTACAGTCCAAACCGGAGCTGAAATTATATATAAATAAAACACGTATTCAGCAAGTTAAGGAAGCAAAACTATTGGGTATCACCCTGGATAATAAATTGTCATGGTCAAAGCATATTGAGAACAATAGTGAAGAGAATGGGAAGGGTGGTAGCTGTAGTAAGGAGATGTAGACAATAGCCTACTTTACGTTTGATATAATGAAAATAATTTTGGACGCTCTCTTCTTCTCACAGCTGGACTATTGTCAGATAATATGGGCCAATGATACGAGATTAATCCTCCAGTGATGTACAAATATTAATAGTATACACTTTGATCTTAAAGGGGTCATATGATGCTTTTTTAAAGATCATTATTTTGTGTATTTGGTGTAACAGCATATGTTGACATGCTTTAATGTTCAAAAAACACATTATTTTTCAAATACTGTACATTATTGTAGGTCCTCTATG